GGGCCCTGCCACGGCCCCCGCTGCACCCCGCGGCACCGCTCCGCTCCCGGCCTCCCACGCTGCAGTGTGGGCCCCCCCAGAAGGGCCGGAGGACTCAGGATTCCTCCCGGGGAAGGTAGAATTTGGGGGTACCAGCCCTGCACCTGAGGTGACCCTGTCCTCCTCCAACCCCGCGCCCAGGAATTCTTGTGACTCTGAGGGGAAAATACAGTTCCACTCCTCAGCCCCCAGTTACCCTGTGCCTGGCCTTGAGGCCCCCCTGTGTCGCCCCCAGCCCCCATCGCTAGCACCTTTCCCCAGGAGCTCAGCGCCATCTCCCTGCCTGCTGGGCCCTGGAGGTCACCCTGCCAGCCTGTTCCTTCCACAGAGGGGACCTAGGCCGGCGTCCTGGCTGGTGAGAAGACGGGGGTCCTGGGGCCAGAGGCTTTGCTTGTCCTGGGCGGGGAGCCTTCCTGGCAAAGAGCACCAAAGTGGGCATGGGGGGATGAGTACCTGGAGGGGGGAGGTCGGGGTTCAGGAGAGCTGGGACCTCTCTCCTAATGGGGTGCGAAGCGAGTTAAATGGGGGTTGGGAAGGCGGTCACTAGGGTGCCTGGTCCACCTTCCCGTCTGTCAGCTCTGGGGCTGCTCTTGGGAGTGGGATGGACTGGGAAGGGGGGAAGAGAGGACAGTCCCGCCCCACGCTGGGGAGTGCTGCAGGGAGGGAGCCATCTCTGCCCTCCCAAGGACCCTGGAGTGACACGGGAAACAGCCCCCTGTCTGCATGCCCAGTGCATGCCTGGCATGTCACATAATGCTGCCACCCTAAGCTGTCCCCCCATTTGGGGGAAGGGAAAATGGAAGCTCGGACAGGTACAGGCACAGTGAGACCTACTCGGAGTCCTTGAGCTTGCAGGTGGCAGGGCCCCGGTGGGAAGCCATCCTGGAGGAGTGGTCAGGGTGGGAGAGAAGCAGGGCCCTCCTGGACACACAGGGCCTGTGCTTGGGGAGGCTGCTGGGAGAGGCACGGTCTCACCCCTTTTCTCTCTGCGCCACGCCGCCGCACTCCACAGGAGGAAAACCGTCTACAGGAGCGTGTGCCTGGCCCTGGCCCTGCTTGTGGCTGTGACCGTGTTCCAGCGCAGCCTGACGCCCGGTCAGTTCCTGCAGGGCCCCCCACCACCCACCCCGGTGCCGCAGAAGCTGGGCGGACAGCTAGTGAACCCCAACACCTTCTGGAAGAGCCAAAAGGACGGGGTCACCCCCATCCCCCGGGCCTCTCAGGGACCGCAGGTCTGGGATGTAACCACCACTAACTGCTCGGCCAACGTCAACCTGACCCACCAGGCCTGGTTCCAGGGCCTGGAGCCACACTTCCGGCAGTTCCTGTCCTACCGCCACTGCCGCTACTTCCCCC